CAAGCAATTCTCCTGCCTCAGCCTCCCAAGTAGCTGGGACTACAGGTACGCACCACCACGCCCAGCTGATTTTTGTATTTTAGTAGAGATGGGGTTTCACCATGTTGGCCAGGATGGTCTCGACCTCTTGACCTTGTGATCTGCCTGCCTTGGTCTCCCAAAGTGCTGGGATTACAGGCGTGAGCCACCGTGCCCGGCCTGTTGTCCCCATTTTCTAGCCCAACATCGGAGTTTAATTAGTCTGCCCTAGTCACATAGCTAGTAAATCGTGGAGCTGTTCTAGACCAGGTCTCCCAGTAAGCACTTTGTAGTTGAGGCAGATGAACTCGTTAGAACTTTTTGGTTTACAAACCAACCTTTTTAAATTGCTGCTACAGAGAACATCCAGGGCAGATGGAATGAACCTCTATTTCCTAATTAAGAAAGGGACACGCACAGAGCCAGTCATCATTAATCCAAGGTACAGAAGTCACGGGTAGGTGGGAGGCTCAAAGATAGAACTTGCCTCTTTAAATTTGTTTTCTTCGGGCCAGGCGCCGTGGCTCACACCTGTAATCCCAGCACTTTGGGAGGCCGAGGCGGGGGATAACCTGAGGTCAGGAGTTTGAGACCAGCCTGGCCAACATGGTGAAACTTGGTCTCTACTAAAAATAGAAAAGTTACTTTGGCTTAGTGGTGCACACCTGTGTTCCCAGCTACTTGGAAGGGTGAGGCAGGAGAATCACTTGAACCCGGGTGGCAGAGGTTGCAGTGAGCCAAGATTGCACCACTACACTCCAGCCAGGGCGACAGAGTGATACTCCATCTCAAAAAAGTGTTTCTCCTCACCTCCCCTCCCCTCCCTTCCTCTCCCCTCTCATCTTTTCCTCCCTTCCTTCCTCTCTCCCTCCCTTCCTTCCTTCCTCCTATCCATCCTTCCATCCTTCCTTCTTTTCTTTCTTTTTAGAGATGGGTGGTCTCCCTATGTTGCCCAGGCTGGTGTTGAATTCCTGGCCTCAAGCAATCCTCCTGCCTTGGCGTTCCAAAGCACTGGGATTACCGTCATGAGCCACGACACTTGACCGGCTCTTTAAATTTCTGGTTTGTCTGTTTCCTCCAGAGTAAGAGAGCTGTAGAGGTTGAGGAAGGAGTTGTGGAGCAGGCTGAGATGGAAGCCTCAGGACTTGAGTGAACAGGGCAGGAGTGGAGTGTGCTAGGTAGGGGCCCGTCAGCAAAGGCTGAGCTCAGACCCTGTGGGATTTGTTAAGAGGTGAGGGGCTGCAGGTGGAAGGGCAGGGAAGAGCGCTTGCTTACAGTCTGACAAACCTGGGGTTTGGGGTGTGACATACTTTTTGTAAATATTGAGGCTAATAAATCCTAGTTGGTGGTTCCCATTGAAAATTGAAGGAAATAATTTAGTTGGAATTGTCTGGCCAGGCATGGTGGCCCACACCTGTAATCCCAGCACTTTGGGAGTCTGAGGCAGGAGGATCGCTTGAGCCTAGGAGTTTAAGATCAGTCTGGGCAACATACTGAGACCCCCGTCTCAAAAAAAAAAAAAAAAAAAGGACTTGCCCAGCCTGCATGTTTGGCATATTATCGTGATGGTGCAATTTTTCTGAACTGTCTTATAAACCTTCAGAAGCTTTGGGTGAGTGGGGAGAAAGTTGACCAAGGCCAGGTATTCTGAATATTAGCATAGCAGTGTGATGGACAGCATGGGGCAGGGAAGTGGGACCTGAGTCCAGCCTAGTAGTTGTTTTCTGTAGTTGGAAGGACCGATAGAAGAGTGACAGAGGGAAAGGGAGAGAAAAACACTTCAAATAAGCCATCCACTGGATTTGGTGATGGGCTGGCCACGGGGAGGGATGGGATTGTGCTTTGTTCATTGGCTTTTTTATGACTCTGTTTATGCTGGTTCCCTCCTGACTCACTGATGTTTCTCTTGTTCTTGTAGGAGCCTGTGTGAAATGCAGCAAAGGGGTGTTTGGGGCTGGCCAGGCCTGCCAGGCCATGGGGAACCTCTACCATGACACATGCTTCACCTGTGCAGCTTGCAGTAAGTGTGGGTGCGCGTGTCGGGTGTGTAGGGGATGGGTAATAAACATGGGGACCGAGAAAGGGAGGAGAGGGAAGATCATCTTTCTGAAGACAGTTGGTCCATGGCCGTCCTCAGCCCCACAGAAAAGCCAGACAGTGTCTTTTACAGCAGGGTTTCTTACCACCAACAGAGGCCGATCAGGGCACGGTGACTTAACATAATACCAAAGATTGCTTGTGATTCTGGTGATAAATTGAATGAGTTCAGAGTGATCCCTAGTCACATCAGGTTTGTAATATGTGAGAAGAGGTTTCAGAAGATTTGGGAGGAAGTGCTGGGATTCACCATGTCTACCCTATTTGTCAGTTCTCTCCCCCACTGTGGGGACCAGCCAGCAAAAAGAGATTAGTCAGCTACCCCAGTGTGAGGTGGTGGTGATGGGGGGAGTGTCTTTTATTACTCTGTAACCACTTTCCCTACCCAGTCTTTGATTTGGAGACTGCTATATGAGCATAAGGTATGTGAGCACGCCACCCGTGCACAGGTGGTGCCTACCTAGCACACACCTGTGGGCATCTTTGGACTCCAGTACGTGCATCATAATGCAAGCAGCCCATCAGGAATCTGGCAGCTGCTCCCAGTGGAAGATTCTAACACACTGCATGTTTGCCACGTCTGACCAAGTTGTGGATTGTACGTATTTTCTGGTATCTGCCAAAGATTAATTTTGAGTATTTTTGGAAAATGTCCTGCTGATATTCTCAATCCGATACTAAAAGGAATGTTACAGCAGAGTCATAGTGTGTCAGGGATGAAGGGATCTTTCTTCCCATCTGGCCTCATGGTTTGCAAGACTTTAAAGCCCAACGATGCCCTGGCCCCACCCTGATTAGCAGAATCAGATTATTGAGATTCCTAGCTAATCCTGTCTGATTAGGATTTAGCTCTGATTCTGCTAATCAAGGGTAGGGCCAGGGCATCACCCTTGAAATTTCTAGAATGGAGCAAGTGTATTTTTTCACAATTTCTCAGATACTTCCAGGGTATGGTCAGGGCTGACCACCATTGGTTTGGGTCTCCTTGTTTTGGATTCTCCTGGAGAAGGGAAGGGGAGGAACTTGCTCACAGCCAGAGATCCTAATTAGTATAAAGTTAACCAGTAGACATGGTTAACTGGTGGCCTCCTAACCTGCTGAGCCTTGATGGTGCAGGCAGATGCCTTAGTTCTAAACTTCAGGCTTTAGTCCTCACTGCAATTTCCCCTGAAATGCATGCCTGAGAGTTTATGGTCTACACATTGATCAGTGTTCACCCATGTAGGGAAAAACTGGGAAAGACTTTGAGATGGATCAAAAAGCCTAGTGAACGTCCACAGTGGAAATCTAGGTGTGGTCTGTTTATCGAATTCTCTGGGTCTCTTGGCCTTTCCTTGTCTTTGAGGTATGTTGCACTCTGTAAGTTGTAGAATATTGATGGTAACACACATGATT